TATTCATAGCATTATACTTTAAATATAGCAGGATGGTGTTGAAGGACATTGCCAGTGCCTAGTGTTGCGGACTATTTATTGCTTTTCAGTGCAACTGTTGTCTATGGCAGGATTAATTGAATACGCGTGCATCCATGGGTTCATTTGTGCTTTATATTCCCGGAAGACACGGGTTCCTGGAAAGAAACCGGAACAAATACAAAACTTATTCAAAGAAAAAAGGTTATTGAATTTATAAACAATATTCGAAAATATTCAAGTAAATTACAAAGACTTTCTAAACAGAGAAATATTCAAACACGAGAACTATAGGCTCACCAAAATTCGTTCCTCATCGAAGATTGGTGTTTACTCCGCAGCCAACTGACAGATGATGAATGAACGAAGAGGTTATTCAAGACCACAGAATTAAGCTACTATCCTAAGACAAATTTTGCGTTCACAACACCTAGATTAGCCAGTGAAGAAAAAAACGTGCGTCAGCGTATCTTACGACGTTGTCTCAACAAGAATGGACTGCATGGACGCAGACCTCGACGAGTGCCACTTCACACACGACGTCGTGTTGCTGCTTATTTGACATTTGCAAGCTCTTACGTATACAAGGGGAAGTCATTTGGAACCAAGTATTATGGAGCGACGGCACAAAAACTGAGCTATTTGGACTCAAAAATACAAAGAAGATTTGGTGCGAAAATGGGAGGCTTTTCTTCCGAATTGAACACAATCATTACAATCAAGCATGGGGGTGGGTCCAAGATGTATTGGGGGGTTTCCTCCTCAAGTAGCATCGGGAAGTTAGTTCCAATTGATGGAATAATGAACTCAGATGTTTATATATCGCTCTGAATTTCAAACATCCGCTCTGAATTTCGGTCTTGAACGACGATGGATCTTTCAGCAAGATAATGATTCGAAAGCTACAACCACTTGGCTTAATAAAACAAATGTGATTTATCTTCCAATGACCAGCAATAGCTTCGACTTGAACCCAATTAAGAATTTATGGCAAGAATTGAAAGTAAAAACCAATAAGCGGGCTCCCACGAGTCACCACGATTTGAAATAAGTCGCAATTGAAGAATGAGATAATATAAATGCAGATTGTACTGCGAATATCCTCCAGAACTGTAGAAAAATTATTGCAGATTATCAGGATGGAAGCACAAGTCATTGATTATTAACATTGCAACAATGTTGGTATTTTCCTACTGTACAAACGATTGTGTCTGAAGGTGTTGAGGAATTTTTGCATTTAAAAATGTTTTGAAATTACACTTTGTTCTGACACTGTAGTGTTATTTTCTCTATTGCATACTGCTTAGTTCAATCCAATCTAAGGTTCATACATTCATCAATTTTTTGTCGAATAATTTCGTCGCTGACTTTTAAACAAGAATATTGTTCCTTAGGTTCACGTCACTGCATTCCGATGTGCGTGCTGATTCAAGGGTCAGTGAATGCAATAATTTTCAACACACTATCTGTTGAAATGTTTATTTCTTCATTAGATCAGCAATTATAATTTTTTTAGAAGTATTTTCACGACGCCAACTCGACTGTGGCTTGCATTGACTTCCAAGACTTTGGTTTGCATTGCCTTGTGGCCATCACCATCTCAGCTGCAACTCGTCTGAGAAGGTAACCAAATAAAAAGCTTTGCAATTCATATATCCTATATCTCTTTAAACAGGAATAATTAGTTTAGTTAGTTTCGAATAGTTCTAAATTTCAAAATTCTCAATTAATATAAAGTTCGTGATTACATACAGGAAAGCGAATTATGCGGGTTCTTCTCTAATTGGTATGTAGTGTGAAATATATTTGGCGCGTTTTCTATACAATTTAATTAATTAAAGGAATAGTAGAGCCCGACTTATAAGGGCCATTATTTTTACAGTAACAGATGCTTCCTCACCCTTCCGATGTTCAGATCCATTTGCGGGTTCGTGGATGTAATCTATATTGTTTTCATTTTTTGCCATTCTTGTAACTCTATCATATAGAAAAAAATCGGCGATGGACATGATCGAAAAGTGCTAATTTTCAATTAAAGAGAATATTTAATTTTTATTTTTAGCACTTAATTTGTGAAATTTTACTACGTGTTACGTGCGAGTTTTATCTCGCTGGCAGAACCGTGGACAGTAGAACACATGGCTGATAATGTGACAGAATAGTAGCTTAATTCTGAATTTGCGTAAGTAACAGAGGAAGTCCGATAAGAACCGCTTCATAAATCAAGCTGCGAGCCTTTGCTTTTCTATTTCACGATGGGATACCATGTTCAACCCTTGTAACTGGATTGTATTTTTTGGACTGTATTGTGATTTTTGAAGCATTGCCAAACAAATTTATTCGGGCCAAATACCTTGCAGCGGCGGCGTATTCGACTAGAATTACACAAATTTAAGATTCTAAACCGTACACCCGAGCTCGCCTAACATTACATGTAATAGCGCAATTAAAATAGCGCGTAAGTCTATCCATTCGTTTTTTAAAAACCTAAAGAAAAAGATAAGCAGCGTCAAAATTCTTGTATAAATTGTTATTATGTTTTCAAATTTTAGTTAAGACTGCATCCACCCATTTGAGAACAATTAATTTCAACAATTATTGCATCGTTGAAAACATCCGTATAGGTTGTTTCCTATTAAACAGAAATGCCATGAATATGATTGTGTCCTGGCTCCAAACGAATGTAGAAACCTTTCGATTATAGTTTTCACGTTTAATACCATTGAAGAATACTACTAACGATTAATAAAGTTTGAAAAAAACCATGAACGAGCCCAATGTTTTTTGTTTAGTTATAGCCTTGGCTTTCACGAGATCAATCCTGCATACGTTAGCGTATCAATATTAAATTCCACCGACATGACCTGACTGTTAAATAAGAAATAATATCAAATATTTCTGTAAAATGAATATTTTTACTCGTGCTAGTAATAAATCTATCAATACTCAATTTTACTTTTATCTATAGTGTCCAAGTTTTAAGGGGAGCGTGTGGGTGTTTTTCTAACTCGGTTATTTACGAACGGATCACCTCGTAATTTGGTAAAAGTACGTAAAACGGAAATCTAAGACTTTTTTGTTCGTGTAAATTTTCGAAAAATAAAAGAAAGCGTGAAATACTTAGAAAACTGCCAAGAAGGGGGTACTGTAGAAATCTATCTCCTCCTAGGATTTTTAAGCTACGACATCAAGACATATATCATTCGATGCGTAAAAACCGTATCTAAAAACTGATCTTTGTGATTTTTGCAATTTTTCATTTTTGAGGGTAAGGGGATATTTTTCGCAAATTTTTTGGAAATTTTTCGATTTTACCCCCCGCCACCCAATCCTTTTGCGGAATAAAATCCAAACTATAACGAAATTAGAAAAAACGATTAAGACCACTTTGTAGATCTTTTCTTTGCAAATCGAATGATATATGTTTCATTGTTGTAGCTTCAAAACTGTAGGAGGAGATAGGTTTACCGTGAGCGAGGTTTTCAGTTTCCAAACTTTTCAGTAGCGGCGAAAAACCGCCGCGCGCTATGTAAAGGCATGTAACGTAGCTTAGATACCGAAAGTAAGCGTTATCTCACTTCAAAGTCAGTCAGCGGTGCATAGGACGACTACATAAAAACCTTCCCGCATGATGGCTGAGTGGTAACTGAGCAGCAGGTCCAGTGATGGCACATTTAACAATGACTGGCCGGAATTATCTCCCTTGAATTTTGTTAAGGGACTCCACCCCCCCAGTTGCTGGTAGAGGCGGGACGTAAACAGAGTTGCTGGTAGAGGCGGGACGTAAACAGAGTTGCTGGTAGAGGCGGGAAGTAAACAGAGTTGCTGGTAGAGGCGGGAGGTAAACAGAGTTGCTGGTAGAGGCGGGACGTAAACAGAGTTGCTGGTAGAGGCGGCACGTAAACAGAGTTGCTGGTAGAGGCGGGACGTAAACAGCTTCCTTGAAGTAACCCCATAAGAAATAGTCACATGGGGTGAGATCTGCTAGGTGCTCTCGGTGGCCAGAGCTAGCTGTAAAGCGAGATCTTCATTTCCAAGGGGGAAATGAAGATCTTGCACAAGATCTGGCACAAGGAGGACAAATTGAATATTTATAAATATGTAAAAAAATTTCTGCACTTAATCTTTCCATTGTTGTATGAACTATTAGTTTTGAATTCATACTTGATTAAATACGAACTTATTCAATTGGGTCCATCATCTAAAATGACCCTGTACACTTATAGATTTGCATTTAATTCATCACCCCTATTTTCAAGTTGTTCCGGACTCCTCACGTCGTCCTGCATGCGGTGGCGAAATTCCTGCGAAATATAGCCCGACATCTCACCCAATTTAACTCCCTAAAAATAATATAATGATTATAGATATGCATTTTAGAAAGTTCACCGTGTGCGGTTCTCAAATGAAATTATTAATAACAATTTCCTTAAAAAATACCTACGAGCTTCACTATAGTTTTTGCACAATGTTTATGCCCTCTGAATAAATGCGATGACATCTGCCTCCTGGAGAAACCAATAGTTTACAGCGGTATCCATGATTTTGATAAACGTATATGTTAAATTGAATAATTTTTTTGAATAACCTCGTTATTCGATGCTGCATAATCTTACCATAATATATAATATAGATCAAATATCTGGCAGAGGTAATATACCGAAATAATCGGTATTGTATTTGTACGCTTTCGCATAGGCCAAAATATATGGATTGCCTGTCACCAACGAGGGCATTCAAATGCGCTATAAAATATACAATGGATTACCTGTCGAACTCCACATTTTCTTGGGAAAGTTAATCCCTGAAATTTGAGAATCCTTTAATCGAAAGACCTTCTCAGCAATAATAAATCTCCAACGAAAGTTAATTATGATAAAAAGACCCAGTCATATTTTATTAAGATTAATTTAATCATATATCATCATACATCACTGTAATTTTTAGTTTTTTAATATAATCAGACGACATTTTTTAATATAATCCCAATAATGATTTACCATTTTAAAACTAACAGGAGTAACGTTCAGATGTTAACAACACTCTACATTAAAGCTTGCTGCAGATACGCCCTCGAAGAACCAAATATGCATTTCCCACGTCGGCTTCAAAAACATTCCACGAGAAAATAGCACACCAGAAAATAGCAAATGAAGAAGCTATCTGCATGAAACACTTAGGGGCGTTCGAGACTTCATTATGCATTCAAAGTTTACATCGGTAATATCATTGACAAGATAGCAAGATAGTTCGTAAACTTACTTGTAGACAAATTAACCAATTAATGTCAAAAAATGTTGTATCAACAAAGCCAATAGTTTTATCCAGCTGTGATTTATGTGTAAAAATTCTTGATTCCGCTAATTGTGAACTCACGTTTTCAATATTCCAAAGCGCCTTAATTTCTTAAAATATTCTTTATACAATCTCTCTTAAATAGTCAAGTTTTTCAGTTTATATGAATACAAATCTACTTTTTACATTCACAATGGCCGACTCACAGCTTGAAATAATCACGTCTTTTGGTGCGGGCGCCTTGGGATGCGTGTTAGCATCTCGCCTCTCGGAGACCTGGGGCCATACTTTCAAAACTTGCTAAGTGAACGTAAGTACTTACTATACAAAAATAATGAATATTGAATTTAAATTTTAAAAGAAGATGACTGATTTTCCGACTTCAGTTATTAACCATAACCATCTTCAACGAATCAGGAAAATAAGAAAGGATTTGCTACTAGAAACTGAACAGGCTTTATTTAAGTTCAAAGGATGGATCAACGGCTGGCTCGGTCATCCATGGCTGGCCATGAACATCACACGGTACACGCCTGCAAGTAAACAAACCCAAATTTGAGAATTGGTTGAATACAGTACATGGCTAATTAATATCAGTGTTCAACAAAAAATCGGCGGAATTCACAAATTATAAACGGTCCAGTCCTAAAGGATCATCCAATTTTGAACAATTGGCTTGGAGCAAGGTAAGCAGGTTCTGGCCAAGAATCAAGCCTCACCTCTGACGTGCAACCGATATTTTTATCTTCAAGCTCTGATTATTAAATAAAATATCACTCGACTTCCATGTAAATTATCCCGTCAGTTGGTACGGGCGCCGCGGGATGCGCGGTAGCGTCTCGCCTCTCGGAGACCAGCGCGAGCGTGCAACTGATAGTTGTGTCTTCGACCTATGATTATTAAATAAAATATCACTCGACTTCCATGTAAATTATCCCGTCAGTTGGTGCGGGCGCCGCGGGATGCGTGGTAGCGTCGCGCCTCTCGGAGACCAGCGCCCGCGTGCTGCTGCTGGAGGAAGGGCCGTCGGCTACACCGGAGACCGCCATACCCAGACTGGCGATCCTGCCGTACGTCACAAACACGGGCCACTTCCGCAGAGTGAAAGGCATCTCACGGGGAAACTCTTTGTTAGGAGTTGAAAACCAGGTAGAATATCAGCCTTACATTAAAGAGGTAAATTTATTAGCAGTATAACAGGAGCGCAAACGAATTACTCGTAATATTAGTGGAGGTCCAAGATTTCGATGCAAAGGACAAACTGAAATGCATCCAGATAAATGTAATTTTAAACTCTGAAAATGAAACGATTTAATAGTATCTGATGATTTTTGGAAAATATTTCGTAAGTTGATCGTAAAATCTCATGCTCACACACATTTTACTAATCCTAACACATTTGATGTGTTTGGATTTTAGACTATGATGTCTTTGGGCTTTAATAGAAATTTTCTATTGATCAATGAAAGTATGAATAAATTACGAAAATGTCTACAATATTTAACGTACACAAAATAAAAATAGACGAAAAACTAGAAACAATTGGAGGCCGTTCCGTGATTCTTGGGCTGTCATGTGAACATTGGATTCAGAATATCCGGCATTTTACTCCTACATGCTGGTAATTGTTCTTTTTTCCCTGTCTACAGCGAGATGAATTTATTAAAAAAATTGAATCCATTATTTTATTTAGTAGTTACACAGTGCAAATAAACTTTTTATTGAATAATCATTACAATTAATTGATTTATTTGTTACACGCTGTGTTATACGCTTTCGAGCAGACCATCTCAATGATCGTCCCGCGCGTGATGGGCGGGGGGACGACCGTCAACGGCGCGCTCTACGTCCGCGGCGCCAAACTCGACTACGATAACTGGAGCGCCCTCGGCAACCCGGGCTGGGACCATGCGTCGCTCCTGCCTTATTTTAAAAAATCTGAGGACTTCAGAGGGACGATTACTGAGCATACGGGTAAGTCTTCTAGTTCTTCAGAGGGGCAGTCACTGAGCATACGGGTGAGTCTTCCAGTTCACCAGAGGGGCAGTCACTTAGCATGCGGGTGAGTCTTCTAGTTCTTCAAAAAAACAGTCACTGAACACTCGGGTGAGTCTTCCAGTTCACCAGGGGGCAGTCATTGAACACTCGGGTGAGTCTTTTAGTTCACCAGAGTGGCAGTCACTTAGCATTCGGGCGATTCTTCCAATACTTCAGAGGGACAGTCACTGGACACTTGGGTGAGTCTTCTAGTTCTTCAGAGGGACACTCATTGCGCACTCGGTTGAGTCTTCTAGTTCTTCAGAGGGACAGTCACTGAGCACTCGGGTGAGTCTTCTAGTTCTTCAGAGGGACAGTCACTGAGCACTCGGGTGAGTCTCCAGCTCTTGCAGTTCTCGGGTGAGTCTTAAGTTAGTTTGTTGCATGCTGCAACAAACTATGCACTTTGAAGAGTCGCACGATATTGATTGAAGATGGTAGATAAAGGCAATAAATTTTTGCAAAACATAAATATTTTGCTTGAACATTGAAGGCATGAGAATCAGACGAGCAGAATCTAAGTTATCTTACGGCAAATTTTGCACCCATTTTCGTCGTTTATACAAAACATTTCTCTAAATAAGTGAATCAAGTAAATTGACTTTACATGAATGAAGTTTCTAGTTAATTTTACCAAAACCTGGGCCCACTGATGAATTAAAGTTCAACGTTAGTAGTGCAAATTTTGAAATTAAATATTCTGAAGCACGTACCCGCAACTACGGCTATTCGCGGCATTCTTATTTTTGCAACGAATACCTTGGCAACGCTACAAACCAATGCAATATTACTTCAAAGCTGTTAGTTAAAATTCTTCCTCAATTAATGCTCCGTAGAAAGTAATTGATTTAGATCTGAGAAATCACAAAATTCATTTGATCAATCCTGGCCTTAGATTAATTCGTGGACGCCTTCAAAGCAACCTGACGGGTTTGATTTGAAGCCTCATGCTCGGTATAGTGGCTATGGTTTGGCGTTCAGCAGTGTAAGATCCATTCAACCTAGTATGAAGTAGTGACGCTCACTTCAAACCAGTAACGATACATGCACATGAAAATGAAATTATCAAATTCATTGAGTTTCTAATTGACAGCCATAGAAGAATTTATTAACTTTTATTTTGTTTATCTAGTGAGGTGCTTGAGAGATTACATACTTTGTTCATATTAGCCATTTTCAAAAACAATGAAATGCATTAGTCATTTTCACCTCAACGGTTCAGTTCTTTGTCTTAACTGACTACTAATATACTAGGTTTATGGGCTGGAAATTTATTAGTATTTCTATTTGCATCACTAAGACGCATACCACGGCAAAGGCGGGCCACTGACTGTCGACACCACAGACGACGTCAGAGAGATGAAAGAAATCATCCGTCCCGTCGCTGCTGAGCTGGGACTCGACATCATAGATCCCAACGGTCCTAATAATATAGGTAATAAGGATAAATTTTAATTCCAACATTGCCGAGGTTTTGCCTGTGATTAAGAATTCATAATTTAAATATGGACCCCTCTCTTAAGTGACCAGTGTTACTTCATAGGATACTGTGACCTTGAAGAGTTGCTTGTTCATCGCAGATGTACTCTAGTGCAATAAACATGGAAACAATTTTTGACAAACCTTGCTAAATAAGATAATCTAAGTAGTAAACAGTGAAGAGAAGCTAAGTAAGTTTGAAACTTTAAATTAATTCTTTTTTGTGCATACTTTGCTTCATTGTTGAACAGATTGTTGAACAGTTTACTGTTTCTGAAAGATGTGTTCATACGATTTGTGAAAGATGCTTTCATTCGGAGTCCGAAAGATGTGTTCATACGGTTTCTGAAAGATGCGTTCATACGGTTTCTGAAAGATGTGTCCATACGGTTTCTGAAAAAGGTGTTCATAAGGTTTGTGAAAGTTGTATTCACACGGTTTCTGAAAGATTTGTTATACGATTTCTGAAAGAAGTGTTCATACACTTTTCTGTAAGAAGTATTAATGCGGTTTCTGAAAGTATTCACGAGTAAAATTAATATAATCATTAATGTAATTAATGTAATCCGAACAGAATTTCACAACCCAGTTTCAAGCATCAAAGTGAGTGTGTGATCTGCACTGAAACCATTCACGAGTTGTCGCAGCATTTAAATGTTGCATTTAAAAATCTAGTAAAGCGGAATTGATATGATTATTATATAAACGGTTCACCTAAATTTTACCGAATAATTCCCCAGAATTTCTGAATTTGAATTTAAATCCTGTTATATTTATTATAAATAATCTCAAGTAAAGTCATTACGATCAGTTTAAAACAATCCCCGCATTACTTATCACTGATTCATCAAATATTGGTACTGACTAGTGAATTTCCGTTTGTATCTACATGAAACTAATGCACAAAAATAATGCCGACATTGGCACAACTTTAAAAGAAAATAAATATTGAATATTTTGAACCATTTTCGTGGATTTGTTGCGTCCTGACAGGATGTCGAGAATTAGATGAATTTTAAATGATGCGATTTGATATGAGATTAGAATTTGTGTATTAAAATTTTCAAGTTCAAATTTGTGCAGAATTATAACGCATAACAACTTCTGTTTGAGAGGAATCTTAAATATGCAGGTCTACGTTTGTGTGTGTTGGCAAACTGGCGATGTAGAGATATGAGGAGTTATCAGAATGCGTATCTACGATCCTTATCGTGTCGGTATATTATCTGTCACAAACATTTTATTATATAGTGAGTAAAGGCTTGGGTCAAAATTTAAATATCGAGTATAAATTTTCAATTTAAAATATTCTCATTTCTTTGTGCACATTTTGATACGAAAGTCAAGCGAAACTTCTGTGTTCTGTATAAAATGGGGGTTTGAAGAGGTTTCATTATTATCATTCATTTGACTTGAAATTCATAACGGTGATCGGGATGATTGGACTTTTACAATGTTGGACACTTCAAGTGGGATCATATGTGTTAAAATTTGGTAACTTCTAATGCGGTTATTTTTATTCTATTGTGACAATTTGTCAGGTATTAACCGTTGGCGCACACCCATAACCTTTATTTCAGCATCAATATGGCATCAATATGTCGTTTGTTTATACACCTTCAGTGTACAGCGCTCCCGCTTTACGTTCTCGTGAGACTTGACTATACCAGTTTCATATGAATGCAAGCACTGCGTTATGAAAGAATGTGGGGATAAATACAACGTGAGCGAAATAAATCTTCAGTCAGCCATGAATGTTCGGCAAACAGACATATCCAGTACAGCCTCCTCAATTTCCCACCCCCCCTCCCTACCAGCCTTACCTCCTCCCCCTCCCGTTCCCCCTACCCCCCATTCCCACATTGCTCCCAACCACACCATGAACCTTCTGGATTTAAAGATCGGTTTGCCATCATCTTTTCCAACTTTACCCTCCTCCCAAGGAGCCTTTGTACCCTCAGGCAGACCACGAGTTAAAAAAATGTATGCTGGAAACACCTTCAAAAGAATTGTGAATACGGGAAGAACGGTGAAGGATACACATTCTCACACCATAGAATGTGTAATAAATTCTTTGATTGTGGAAGCGATTATCCCAGAGGGTGCAAAAAAGGTAAGGATTGCCTCTTCTATCATCCTACGCTGTGCTGGAGTATCATGAACAGAGAGGACTGTACCAGAAAAAACTGTTGTTTCCACCACATCAAATCAAGAAAACAAAGTGGAGAAAACGGCAATAGAGCGAGAACCAATGGTATGCCCTCACAGCAAATGGAGATGCCCACCGCACAGCCCGCCCCTCGCGCTCAGGAAAGACAGAGCAACGCTGAGAGAAGCACCGTTGGAAGGAGCGGTGATGTACGAGGTGGAAATGAACGGAGTCAATGGTGAAGGACAGACGATTTAGCTAGCCCACTGAGAAGCCGATGTGCACGGGGCAGAGAAGCACGTGTGGAGCAAGATATTACCCTCAGTGCCTTTTTAGACATGACGGACCAAATGCAATATTAATTGGAAATGATGCAGCTCCAGATAAAGGAGCTGCTGGACCAGGGACGCCTGGCAGATCGGTGTAGCTGCAGGTTAGAACACCAAGAAGGGAAGAGTCTGGCATCCTGCTGGCCAACATCGAGGGACTCTTCCCACAAAGAGCGCGCCACAAGATTGGCGTGCTGAGAGAGATGGCCGACGAGGGTGGAATCTTTATGATTGCGCTAACGGAGTCGCTCCTAAGGAAGGATATCCTGGATGCAGAAATTGCAATGGGAGGATTTCAACATTATCGAGCGGACCGAATTGGAGGGAGGAAGAAGGGAGGAGAAATCGTTTACCTTAGAACTCCCTCGCAAGAAGCACGGTGGAATTGAGATCGAAATCTGGAAACTCTGATCGGTTAGTTGAAAACGTACTACTCCACATAAAAAAATTGACCTCTGAGTAGCCATAGTCTATAGGCCGTCTGCTTGCCCATCGGAAATTTTCAACAAAGCCCTGGATGAAATAGAAACCAGGGTGGCTGGACTGGGTGAACCAGCCCCCAGCCTGATAATGGGGGGAGACTTCAATCTCCCACGTATCCGATGGACAAGTCTGGGCGACGTAGAGGAGAAGTCGAAAAGCCAAACTATTGAAGTTCTCTGCCGAACACTTGCTCAGTCAGCAGGTACGGTTGCCGACAAGGGAACGAAATATCCTTGATCTCTTCTTTACTGATAATGAAAGAATTGTGGTTGACGTTTGGGTTGAGGAAACCTCACTGTCAGACCACCGCCCGGTGAGGGTGGTTACGACAATTGAACTGATACCCAACCCAGGGCTATACCCAAAAATGGACTGGCATTCCTTAACTTTCACCATCGAAGAACGGATTGAGAGGCAATATGGAATAAACTTGACGAAACTGAGTGGAGAGAAGAGTTTCACGATATGAATGCAGAGGAAATTTATACAAAACTTTGTGAGAAATTAGCACAGGTATGTGTGCGTCATACCCCGTTTAGCATACATTAGCATAAACCGTCATACCCCTTTGGGTCCCGTTTTCTCATACCCTGAGAAAAACGGGACCCAAAGTCCGCAGCATTCCGGGAGACCGACGAATTCTTTTGAGAAAACGCACACGTTTGAGTAAACAAATAGCTGAATCCACTAGTGATTTGTGGAGACAGAGACTAGTAGATTTACACAATGAAATTGAACTCAGGTTGCACGACTCCCATAGGATAGAAGAACAAGCTGCTGAAGAAAGAGTAGTGGAGGTAATCAGAGAAAACCCGAATTACTTTTTTCAAATACGCCCAGTCCAAGGCTAAAATAAAGACGCCTGTGGGCCCGCTGAAGGATAACGATGTCCTTGTCGGAGACCAGGGTATGTGTGAGTTACTGGGATCGCAGTTTGAATCAGTCTTCAGTAACCCCCGCTACTCAAGGGAGGCGGAAGGGGTTTGGTGAACATTGAGTTTGGGCCAGAAGATTTGGAAATAAGTATTAAAGAATGGGCGACGTTCTCAGAACCAGGACCGGATGGAATTCCGGCAGTGCTGCTGAAGAAGTGTGTTGGAGCACTGAAGGTTCCGCTCACAATGCTCTGGAAAGCCTCGATGATGGAGGGAATTATTCCTGAAGGCCTAAAAGTAGGACTGATAACGCCAATCCACAAAGGAGGTGCGAGAGACAGACCCCAAAATTACAGACCTGTGACCTTGCCTCAGATGTGATCAAGGTTTTTGAGAAGGTAGTGGTCAGGAGGCTTATCCGGTATATGGAAGAGGCTGACCTGTATAATAAAAGACAACATTGTTTCCGGCGTAATCGTTCCTGTTTGTCGCAGTTACTCTAGCACCATCACCGTCTAGTGGCCCAGGTGGAAAAGGGAACTGACGTGGACGTGGTATACCTGGACTTCGCTAAAGCTTTTGACAAAGTTGACCATGGGGTGTTCTCTAGAAAGCTGAGGCTGTTGGGAGTAGGAGGAAGCCTGTTGAGGTGGATGAGTGCTGATGAAGATCACAGATGACCTAGATTGCGAGAGGTTACAGGATGATCTATCGTCAATCTACGATTAGGCCCTAGTGAACAATATGCAGTTCAAAGGCACAAAGTTCGAAGTAATGAGATATAGAGTCCGCACAGAGATCGGGATGCCACATCGCTACCTGGCATCAGATGGCACAGAAATTGAGGAGAAGCAACTAGTTCGAGATCTCGGAGTGTTGATGAGTACTGAAGCCAGGTTCGATGCCCATATCGAGGAAATAGTCGCGCGCAGCCGGCAACGGATGGGGTGAATATGGCGGACTTTTCGAACGAGAGAAGCAACACCAATGATTACACTCTTCAGAGCCCCCGTGCTCCCCAATCTTGAGTATTGCTGCCAACTTTGGCCGCCACTCAAGGCGGGTGCGGTGCGAAAACTAGAGGCAGTGCAGAGGACCTTCACGCACAGAATCAGCGGCATGAGGGAGCTGAACCTGAACTACTGTGAAAGGCTGAAACACTTGGGGCTGTACTCACTGGAGAGTAGAAGAGAAAGGTATATCATACTGTTCACTTGGAAGATGATAACCGGACTGGCTCCCAACTTTGAGAGTGAGACCTCCAGAATAGTGACACGTTACAATGAAAGGAGGGGGAGACTGTGCGAGGTTCCCCCATTTAATAACCGAGCCGCGGCCAGAGTACAGACTCTTCGTGAGGGATCACTGTCAGTGGTAGGACCGAGGCTCTTTAATGCCTTGCCAAAAGAGCTGAGAGGATGGGAGTTCACCCTTGCAACAGTCAAGAGACGACTGGACAATTGGTTGAGAAAGATCCCGGATTGTCCAGTAATGGGAAACTACCCTCAGCAAGTGACAAGCAACAGCATCTTGCATCAGCTGGCCCAAAGGAGGGCAAATAGACGGAACACGTCCAACGTTACATCCGGGACCCGAGGGCGGGGTGACCTGCCCAGCGATGACTCGGAGACGGAGGACGACGAAGGCGGCGCATCAGCGTGACCGTGGACTACGAAGTCTTAAACTAAACTCATCACAAGACCAAATAACATGATGGATTCATCGTCATAAGATAGAAATATGGCCCCTAAACAGAACAAGGAATTTTGCAGTAGTTGTTACTTTTTAATTTCTTTACTATTTCAACGGAAATAAAGTAAATAATTCGATTTCTAAAGATTAAGTCTGAGTTTAAAATGCTGTGTTTATTTACAAACAATTCTCAGGGTTTGCGCCGGTGCACAACGCAATAAGAAGCGGTGTAAGAGCTTCGGCGTCAGAAGCATTCTTGAAGCCAGTCATGCGCCGACCTAACCTACACATTCTAACTGGAGCCCGGGTTGACAAAGTAAGGCAAATGAACATAAATGAAAATTTTTATTAAAAGCCAGATAAATTTCCCACATTTATTAGCCAGATATTATTTCCACATTTATTCCACATTGCTATAACATTTTTTTCCACATTTTGTTGTTCATGGATTCTTTGCGCAAACGATTCTTAGCGGTCGACCTAGAAAAATACACTTGTACCTACTATGATGAATATTGCGATTGCTCTACATGTTGAGATTTCACCGAATGCAACTGATATCGACGCCGTAAATCCGTCAAAATCAAAGATGCAATTCAGATTTGACTGATAGAACAAAAAGTGAAATTCGAACATTTGACAATAAATCTCGAATCGCGAAACATCCACTACTGCATGTCAGTCACTCCTTTGGAAATAGATAGATTTCTTGGCGGAAGAAATTCAAAGTATAGAGGGAATAAGTTATGTTTAGCTTTTAACGCATCTGAGCCCTAAAAAATTCGGGGATCCGTGGTCAATTGAGAAAATAATTCACATCGAATAATGATTGAAGGAGAGAAGTCGCTATCACAATTGCTTGTCCGTTGATAATACTCATCCACTGAGGTCTTCCATGATCTGGGATTCATAAATATCGACAATGTAAAATTATAATTACTTAGGTTCTTGCACTAAGAGGTCGATTGCTTCCCAGCCTTGATTTTTATGTGTGTGATGGTGGCTGTTGCCGCTCTCGTCGTTCGCAATCTTGTAGCCTTCGTACCTGATGCAGTACTATTAAAAATAGTCAAGATTTCAGTATTCCTTCAGCCAATCACTAAAAGCTTATCAAGATACAACCATCAATTATATGCACGGAATCGCCCGCTATGATTTCTCAAGCCTTGCAACCTAAACATTTATCTCGCGGACAATATTATTGGTTGTGGTATTCAAGCCCACAATTTTTTATTAGGAAGTAATGATTGATTGGAAAAGTCTATAATTTTGGCATTCTAAAAATTGCGGCCTGCATGCAGCGTAGAATCATACCAGCTGTTGTTCATTGACTGCGCAAACAAAATGCTATTTCGAAGCACGCTTATGTCCCGAAAAACGTTCTAAAGATTAAAATCAAACATTTAATTGGTCACAAATTCATGATCTAGGATCAGTGAGGTAGTCAGGTGGTTAAGATTGGCAAGATTAGGGTAGAGAGTTATGGGCTCGAGACCCAACTAGCTTTAGAAAATTTGCCACATCGTGATAGAGTCCGCACTGTCAAGGCTCAGCCAAAAAAAAATAAAAAAATTTAACGCTGGCAACACTATTGTACAGTTATCATATCATGACGATATTAAGTTCGATCGCTTCAACAAATAACAAACAAATCAAAAGCTAAATTTTAATTTGCGTTCTTTGATTAGGCGTGCGTCGTTCTGATGTAGGTTTAACATGACAGCACGATGGATCAGAAATAGCATTCAGGTCGAACAATCTAATTCACTTGTTATTTCTGAGCAGATCCTCTTCAACAAGAATAAAAAAGCAACGGGGGTGCAATACACTTTCAGAGGGAAGGTAATTATATAAGCGAACTGCTTTAAATAATCTCTATGTACGATTAAGAAATATTGTTCTTTATTTTATTTCAACTCATTCTTTACTTGGTATCTCCCATAGTTGCGTTCGATCGTAGTCAAAAGTTATGATTAAAGTAAGCATAAAAACTCAAATTTTTTAAAGTTACATTGCCTTTAGTTTAATTCTGTAATATTTTCCTTGTTAAACTTGAAAGTGGCATCTTTGTATCCAGACTCGCATTGTGAACGCTCGAAAGGAAGTGATCATCAGCGCAGGCGCTGTTATGACCCCAAAGCTTCTAATTCATTCCGGCATTGGGCCAAGAAAACAACTTGAAAAGTTAGGGGTAAGTGAAGTACAATTTATGACTTAAATGAATATCAAATTTCAAATTATGTCCAGTCATCTAGCATTAACAAACAACAACTTGAAAGTAAACTTCTATTTTGTTAATAATTGCGGCAATGGGTCGAGAAATTACTTCTCATTCGTTTTCCTGTCATAAAACATTTTTTTTTAAATATAGGTCTAAATTTGACAATTATGTTCGAATTGATAAAATCCTGCTCATTTAAAAATCACAGATTCCTGTAGTAGCCCTGGCAGAAGGTGTCGGGCAAAACCTGGGCACTCACGTAACCATTCCACTGTACTGGAAGATAAAACCCGGCCTCTGGTTCTCGACAAAGGATTTTTTAAGCCCTCATAACATCGTGACTTACATTAAGAAGCAAACAGGTATACATAATCAACAGATATCTGCTCATTTGTTTTCAAGCCTCGGTCAGCGCAGACTTAGGATAAATTGGTTCATAATGCTTATTTGCTGAATGAATATTATCTCTTTGATATTCCTGCATGCAAGACTGAGTAGAAAGTTTTTAATTGATCAAACATTAAATTGCCCAAGTGCATTTACTGGTCATTTCAATACTGCACTAAATTTATTTACGTTGATCAATTGGGCTTCACTTTCATTTTAATTGCCAGGAATTTAAAAGTAAAGAAAATAGCCAAAAAGTTCACCATTTCTTATAAGAGAAAACGTTTCGGAATCCAGCTCCATCGTCAGTTCAAAACCTAGAACACAGGTACAAACAATTAGTCGCCTAAAATTCACATTCAAACAATTCACCTAAACTTGAGGACATTAGAACTAAAATCGAAGATAAAAGAAATAAAAATGAGATAACATATAGAGAAAGTACTATCTATTTACAATTTGTAGAGGATAGGAACTGAATGCAGCATTTCAACTGGGTTTCTGTTTGAAAATATACAATGATTCTAAAATTCGTAGGTCAGAAATACCGGTTGTGGAGGCTAAAACTCTAAAATCACTATTGGACACCGGGACGTTGCACTGCTCGGCATGAATACGTGCTGAATGAGGGGGATGCGCAAGTATGTTTCCTGTTCTATAACTCCTGCCCCTATGCTCTACAAGCCTAGTTTAAAAATTGCGCGATGTCATACCGACATACGCAGATGCGCACTGCGCACAACTATATTGATAAACTAGGGATGATCGCATAAGAACAGGGAGAGGATCTTTGTACTTGAAAAACGAGCTAATTTTGAAATTGTTCACTAGCAATACATTAAGATTTACATTTGGGAGGTATTTAGAGAATAGATCTTTCAACTCCTTTGCCATCGTCTCAGATGCGGGGCCAAAGTAAGGAAAAGAGCAATAAACACGATTCCTATCGTCACGTTCGGGAACCACCTCAGCATATTGTTTAGACAAGAATTTCTTAATTTGAGTATACACAAATTGTGAAGGAAACCCGTTCAGTGAGAACATACTGCGCAAATATTCAAATTCAGTGTGCATGCTATGGGAAGTAGAGCAAATTCGGAAACTGCGGTTTAATAATGTTTGAATCCCATTTAATTTGAAACGAAAAGAACAGAAGCTAAACAATCTGGTGCTTAAGCCGATAAACATTGATTTTCTGTACACAGATGTCTGGAAACAGCCATCGGATTTTATGAACTTGCAATCAAGAAAGCATAAACTATTGTTGGATTCAAGCTCCATAGTAAATTTGATGGATTTGTGTTGCCGATTAAGATAATCAAAGAAACGGCCCACATGAGAGGGATGTTTGAAAATTAAAAATGAATCATCTACATATCGGTTGTAGAAAATTGGCTTAAAATCAATAGGACAATTTGCCAGCCATGTAGCCTCGTGATAACACATGAAAATATTAGCCAAGGTATGGCCGAGAGGAAGACCCATGCCTAGACCGTCAATTTGCCTATAAAATTTGCCGGCAAATACAAAAACAGAGTTCAAAACTGATAATTCGAAAAGAGATTTTAAAAAGTTGCGGTTCAGACCCATGACAAGTTCATTGACACCTTTAAACGAAGAATATAGGCAAATATCAATAGTTTCAGAAAGAGGTATGTTAGTGAACAAATTTTCTACATCAAATGAAGCCATAGTCAAGCCCTGAACATTATTGTAACTCTTCAAGCGGTCCACAAACATGTAAGTATTGTCTACCGTAATTTGATTGGTGGTAAGACAGCTCAAAATTGGAACCAGAAATTTAGCAAGTTTGAAGCTAGGAGTATGTAAGCAGCAAAAATTGGGCGAAATTGAAAATTTGAAGCGAAATCGGGTTTATGAATTTTTGGCAAGCCATATAATCATTCAGCCGTACGTATTCATGCCGAGCAGCGCAACGTCCCGGTGTCCAATAGTGATTTTAGAGTTTTAGCCTCCACAACCGGTGTTTCTGTCCTACGAATTTTAGAATCATTGTATATTTTCAAACAGAAACCCAGTTTAAATGCTGCATTCAGTTCCTATCCTCTACAAATTGTAAATAGATAGTACAAAAGAATTAAAACGCTATCTTTAATACTTTTTACTTTGTGATTTTTTTAAAAGAGTAAGTTCCCACGCCGCACCCTGTACTTTCTCTATATGTTATCTCATTTTTATTTCTGTTATCTTCGATTTTAGTTATAATGTCCTCAAGTTTAGGTGAATTGTTTGAATGTGAATTTTAGGCTACTAATTGTTTGTATCTGTGTTCTAGGTTTTGAACTGACGATGGAGCTGGACTCCGAAACGTTTTCTTTTATAAGAAACGGTGACCTTTTTGGCTATTTTCTTTATTTTTACATTCCTGGTAAATTTGCGACTTAAGCAGCCAAGTGATTTTAATACTTATATCATTTTAATTGCAAATTGTAAAAGAAACTCGAGGCCATATATCCATTAAATTCGAGGCCATACATTAACATTAAATTGCCTATGTGCATTTTCTGGTCATTTTGATACTGCATTGAATTTATTTACGTTGATCTATTGGGCTTCACTTTCATTTAGTTGAAAATTGTAAAAGACACTCGATGCCATACATGCGCCAAACTGAAGTTGTTGTTTACGAATAACAACAAAGATTACTTGTTGAGGACTTTCATGATCAACCCTTCGGTCTCTACACGATGTGCTACGACATTTTAATCAGGCGGCAGGGTTTCTTCGGTTAAATATTCCGCCACTACCAATGTTTTTTTATTAAATTAATTTGCACTCACTATGCTGTATTGCATTATCAAAAAATCTGAACAGTTGATTCCTGGTTTTCAATAGTAAAATTTAGCCATCATTTCTGATCAACGAAAACTCGTGGCGAAAATGCCAACGCGATCCTTATTTGGACGAAAACCACTAAGTTTAAACAATACTTATCAAAAGAAAAAATATTGCCATATTCCCTCCTGGCAAAACCCCATTCAAAAAGCGAATAATATTCGGCACCGTGGACAAAGTTCCGCGCCGTCTCTATAAGTTCTTGCATGGTGCAGGCCAGCCTAGAAAACAATTAAATTAAATAAACGATTAAACATGAAAACATTTGTATTAACGACCGCATTTTCTTCATAGATGAACATTCTGTTAAGACAAAACGCACTCGAAAAAGCGCCTGTATTTTATTTGATGTTTTTGGTGATTCTGCTCCACAATTATGTAATGACTTTATAAATACAATTTGAAATTATACAAATATCTATGTGTATTCCCCATTGATAATGATAGGAATTTTTTAGGCTGAACGTGGCTAATCGGCAGCAGTTCTATCATTAATTTTCTTCTCATCACACCACTTAGGCTTCTATTCTACGCCGATGGGTCCCACGATGCACACGTACCTCAATGTCGGCGGAAGTAACCCTCGTCGCCCCGACGTTGATCTGTACATGGGGCTTCAAATTGGCGTAAAGCTTCCATTCTACACACGTGAGGTTAGACGACAGATTTTCCTAGATATAATGTTATGTCGGCATAAGTGATTTGTCCCGGTAATTGGAAACGTATAGTTGCTATTATGTGTCACTTCTACATGATACATTTATTTATACATGTTCTTCAAATGGTTCTGCATATGGCTTTCAATATTGTGTTGATTAATAGTGCTAAAGTCAGATTGCATGAACATCCGTAACAAACGCGGTATTATGATCTCTAAAGACTAAATATGATGTTATGTCGTGATAAGTGATTTGTCCCGATAATTGGCAATTTATACTTGCTTTTATGTGTCACTTTTGCGTGATGCATTTATTTATACATGTTTTTCACATGGTTCTGCATATGGCTTTCAATATTGTGTTTATGTCTTGATTAATAATGCTAAGGTCAGATTTCATGAGCATCCGTAACAAACGCGGTGTCATGAAAAATGAGGAAATCTATCTATTGAGATGTCAAAGTCAAACTAACACTGCGGTCTAGTAATACTTTCTGACCTTTTTAGATTAATTCCCAAATTGCCGGTCCGCTTCTCAACGAGCCCGTCCTTTTCGCGACGGATATGCTATGTCGCCCAAAAAGTAAAGGATACATAGCGATCACATCGAAAAACCCCGTCGAATTACCTGTCGTTCACTACAATGTCTACGAACATCCCGACGACATTAAACTGCACCTGAAAGGTTTGGTTTGGTTAGGTTAGGTTAGGTTAGGTTAAGTTAGGATAGTGATAGTGAGATGTATATCAAAAATTTTCAGCTGTGCGTGTTGAAATGAACCTAAACAGCTTGAATGAAAATCTATACTCTGAAGGAATTGAACTGTCGAACTGATGATATTCAAAAGGTGGTAACCAAGGGGAAAACATAATGAGGTAAAACTTTTGAATTGTTTTAGTTTTTATTTAAAATTACTACATGAACTTATTTAAAAAAAACTCGAATTACTGTTACGCAGAAGCGCACAAGTTCAATGCATTTTTTTTGTTTAGTTATACGATTGTAACTCAATTGCATGACGATTCGCTAAGAAATTAAAATATACAGGAACCAAGTAGGAAAGCTGGACGCCGCTTATTTAAATTTCAATACTGTATGTACTTTTTAACAATATTTTCGCGTTTTAAATGCGCTAGTTTTATTTCGGCGTTTTAGGACATTTTATAATACAGACGTTAGCCAAAATTAAGACTGAAATAAAGTTATGAATTTGGTTCGATTCATGCAGAAAACAAATAATTCAAATTCTACGTATTTAAGGAAATAGCGAAGATACGAACAGTCGGGCATGAGCCGTTAACGGATTGGAATGTTGTAATCAGATATGCTCTTATACCAACAATTTTCAGAGGGAACACAGTATATAAGGAACCTTATAAAATTTCCTGAGTGGCAGGATTCTACTTTATTTATCGCCTCGTCGCACGGTTAATGCAGCTATAGGATATGTTTTATACGCCGGCTTGAATTTATTCACGACCGCTTTGGTCCCGAAATGGAAGACACCTCGTACTCGCTGATAGACTGAAACCTTATGCATAAAAATTATATAATCGAACAATAAAAATATTTTCATCACCATCCGTATATGTAGCTGCGCCAAGATAGGACATCTTTTGCCACAACTTGGACATGCAAATGAGAATGGTCTGACCTAATTTTGTTTTATTTTTCTTTAGGTGTTGAAGAATTGAGACGCATCATGGACTCTGAAGCCATCAGGAAAATACGAGTGGCACAGCCGGATTTGGTATGTCAATGAGAACGAGAATATGAATTCATTGCCACTCCTGGCATTATTTTTTTATCTATAATTTATTTTAACATTTCTTTTCGTTAGTGGTTTACTTTCTATTAGTATGCCAACTGTTCGAATGATTATTGTTATTCCTACGCTCTCTTCGTATTACATTATAGTATTAGTACCCCTGACAGTTGTTGAGTTAGGCAACTCTATAGCCTCGTTTTAAAACTTACCTAAGAAAGAGGTATAAAAGAAAAAAAAAATCTATTTCACCAGCACTTTTGCGTATACATATGACATTTAAAGGTAAATATCCTGAGTAAAGTTTGAAAGAAATTAGAATGATGTAGCATCATTAGTTGTTGCAGACGCTGAAGGCGTGTGCGCATTTAGATGAATATACTCTGATGAATGTAAGCGTGGATATCGCCGATACTTTGATGAATGTTTGCGTGGATATATTTTTAAAACGAGGGTACAAATAATGAACGCAAACATGGAAAATTTTGCGGGAATCAGCTAGTATCTATACTATCTAAAGTATGCTAGTATGCTATCTAAATATATTTTAACGAGCTTTCACTGCAATATTTCAATGAATTTGAACTCATAATTATTTTATTTCGCAGACGTTGAAGGCGTGCGCGCATTTAGGCAACAACACCGACGGCTACTGGGAGTGCTACGCCCGCCACATGACGATATTCAACGAGCACTTCTGCTGCACCGCAAAAATGGCACCGCCGACCGACCCAATGGGCGTTGTGTCTTCCAGGCTCAGGTGAATCAGTAGAATATTAAGGGGAGCGTCTAGGTCCAAAGGTCGATATTTTGGCTTTTCCTGTTTTTAGGCTCATCTTAAAGCTTACTTTCTGACGCATCGAACGGTACTAGAACCATCTCTGTACGTTGATTTATGCATTCGCAACAGATCCCGTATGGGGGGGAGGTGTCCGGGCCCCTTCAGTAAAGTTAAGGCTGAAATTACCCGGCCGAGCACCATAAAGAGGATCGTCTGATGTAAAGCGGCCAATTATGACATTCTCCAGTACCTATACTCATCCTAAAGCTTACTTTCTGCCGCATCGAACGGTACTAGAACCATCTCTGTACGTTGATTTTTGCGTTCACGACAGATCCCGTGAGGGGGGAAGGGGGTGGGGGGCCTTCAGTAATTCCAAAGGGGGAAATTAACTATAAAATGTGCTCTTCACTCGGCTAGAGCTTGTAACCTCACAGACAGCACGCGAGATGGTGTTCATTTAGTGGCTCCATGCGCCGATGACTTACTTTGAAGTGAATTGATGCTAACTTTCGGTATCTACGTTACGTGCCTTTACGTTACGTGCCTTTACGTGCTGAAAGCTGAAAACCTTTCCCACAGCAATCCCATCCACACCTACAGTTTTGAAGCTGCATCAATGAGACATATATTGGAAAGGAAAGATCTACAAATGCCATTTCGTCGTTTTTTTCAATTTCGTTATAGTTCGGATTTTATTTTGCAAAAAGTGGGGGAGGGCGGGGATAAAATCGAAAAATTTCGAAAAGTATCGGAAAAAATGCTCCCACACCCACAAAAATAAGAAATCCAAAAACCCGCTAAGTGACGTATCTAGATATGGTCTTTACGCATCGAATGATATATGTCTCGATGTTGTAGCTTAAAAACCCTAGGAGGAGATAGGATTTCTAAAGGTCCCCCTTTTTTGCCGTTTTCTAGGAATTTCGCGTTTTCTTTCATTTTTTCGAAAAATTCACACGAGAAAAAGTCTTTGAATTCCGTTTTGCATACGTGTACCAAATTTCGCTTCGATCCGTCTGTAAATAACCGAGATAAAGTTGTCCCTAGACGCTCCCCTTAAACTAATATCTAATAGGAAATTATCTGGGCTTGACCTCTTCTACCTCCGTGCAAGTGTTCAGGGAAGTTCACGCTCACTTTAACGAAACGCCTTCCTACCGGCTGTGAGTTTAGCAGCTGCTTATGTTACATGCCACTGCACCTCTGTACAAGCACAGAACAAAAATTTTAACATTCACGCAGTTGATACAGTACATCACTGAAATAGCACAAAACATGGTCCACACTCAGATCGCACGACCCAAAGTATTTAACTCATTCATCTTCCCTACAAATACCGCAAGTTTAAAAGCGCCACATTAGCTGCACTCGGTTTTTCGCCTCATTCATTGTACGAATGAAAGACAACTCCAAATCAACAGCTACAGAAGGGCAATGGAGGGCGGAGGAAGAATAGTGGTCATCTATTTCTTGTCGTTCTTCGTCGGCCCGGTGTAGGACTCTGCCACACCCAACATAGTCACGCCACACACATGCTACTTAATATTCCTATAGTATTCATTGATCCGAATTTCTTTTATGTGAATGTAGAATGACAATAAAATTCATTTTTCTGCTTATTATATAACAAGAATATAACCCTTTTTTCCGTAATGTACGATGTTGAGTTTCGTACGTACGCCGTGCTTTTCTATGCACGTTTTAGGCGTATCTAATTAGTTATTAACTACATGAGGCAGGTTCTGGTGCCTTGACTTAAATGAGGATAAATGAAGCACGAGTTAAGTACAGATTAGATACTTATACTTAGTGAGAATATATCGGCTTACAGTTTAGGATAATCAGATTATAAGTTGGAGCTTTAACACTGATGTCTTCGGTGTCCAGTTGAAGTATGGATAAGTATAGAGTGTTACTTCTACTCTGACATTAACTTAGGGTTACTGTCCTATTGGATACGGACAGGAGTAAGGGCTTACACACGACTGTTCTCGGCCCAAGACTGAAGTTTCCGCGTCTGGGCAGAGCTCATATAACTGCGGCTATTTGACGTCACCAAGAGCATGACGTGATAAACAGGAAAGGCTAATACAAGGAAATGCTCATGAACATATCGCATGTGAAGGATATCATCTTTCAACAAGGAAGACATCAATCAGGAAATATCCAGGGACGAATGGTATCAACATTGTCACCTGACAGTAAAACTCTGCACAAGCTTATCAAAGTCTCAACAAATCCAATCTCGCCTTTCAAACTAACCAAAACTCATCTCAAAGCATTCAGCAGCCACGTCATTATAAGCAAGCATTTTGCTGCTCCATTCATTATGCATTTTCCCTCTTCCATTCTGCGTCACTTTTTTGTTATCCCCAAAATTTCAAGTGTAACCGTGTTTAGAATCGCATTCTCCAACAAAATTAAGGTACCGCCTAGGCTTCTGACCAGGGCCTATACTTTCAAAATTCGCTAAGTGAACGTAAGCACTTACGCTCTATTTTCTTGTCTATGATTGGTGGATTTTGCTTCAAAGGCCATCAATGATTGGCTGATGAACTTACGATCTCTTAACTTTTTTTGAAAGTATGGGCCCAGGAGTCGCTACATTCGGCTTATTCACTGTATCCTCGTAAGTTATTCACTGTATCCTCGGCCAGCCAGTTTATATCAGTTCCTTTCCGACTCTTTAGTCGCATGAGATTAGGAGTGTTGTCCGTGTCCAGACATACCGAGATAGTAAGCTGCACAGTTGCTGCATCTTAAACCCTGAGTCGATGCGGACGTACGAGTAGAACGACTGATTTACATACCCCCCGAGTCCTATAGACGGCATATGTTGCAGATTCGAGCTAGCATCTATATTTGGTTAGGGAGAAACAGTATATTTACGTCGTTTTATTTCAGTTCATTAGTTTCTTATTTGTAGTGGATGATGCAGTAACAGGCCACACTTATGCACATCCTTTCCCCCGTAAAGGCTCTCAGGCAATTCGCCTTCCCCACTATTTATATAAGCGCCGGGGGACTGTAGTGCGTACCGCACATCTGCCCTCTGTTGGGCAAGCTGATGTAATGCTGTTGACATCATCCTGCTAGTAGTGGGGCAGTAGCGAACAATCAAGCATTGTTTTCGGGAACGTGTCCATTCGTGTCTTGGAGATCACACCTGCACAAACGCGAACGTAACCAAGTACTCGCAAAAACAGGCACATACACGTAGAAACATAGACACAAACAATGTCACATTCAAATCGTTAGTTGCAATGGATGGACAATGGTACACATAATATTTACATAATGGGTATATTAAAAAACATCGGCTTGCACAGCAAATCATTCCTTCTGCAATTCTCATCCCCTAACTATTCTAGCTGCAGCAAGTTTTGACTTCTTAAGACTTAATATCGAAAAGTAATTATTTTGGAACTTCATCACCTAGCGAGCTGGGACTGTCAATTCATTATGCACTTAGAACCTTCAACGGTTACTTTTGTAATTTATTTTACCTTCTCTTCTTTCTGATCACTTTTTGCAACTTATTCATTTTCATCCGTTTCAAAGTGGGTCCGCAAACTCAAGCAAAATGCTTAAATAGTTAATACACAGTGCGGTAAGTACTATTATATTTCATCGGTAAAAGAATAGTGTATGCCTCAACATATTTTACTGCATCAAGGAATGTGCTACAAATAAACTTATTCAATACCTTCCTTCACCTTCAGTGTGCGGGGAGTGTCGGGCCTTCGTGTCGTGGACGCCTCGGTGATGCCGGAGGTGGTCTCCACCAACACCATGGCCACCGTTTACGTCATTGCCGAGAAAGCCTCCGACATCATCAAGCAAGATTGGGGATATCTAACAAAGGAACAAGTTTAAAAATACTAAACCAAAAACTTGCCCCAAAATGAAGCTTCTTTTATTATAACGAAAGTATCAAAAATTACTGCATCCATATACCTGAGCCCTCAATTAGAGGTGATAGAATCTAGCGGGAATCGCAACTGAAAACCATGCTGCGCAATCGATTTATTGAGAATAACCGAAATATTTTAATTTGATCGTAATAAATTTGTGATAAAGAAGATTTCTCATTCTCATAATGCTGTGGTAGCATCAACTCAAACTCACCTGAATGCAATATCTGTGGCAACACTGTAGGTATATATGACCTTTCACCATTTTGATTTCCAGTCATGCATACTGACGAAGGATTAGGAAAAGTCCAATGCAATTGTCCCAAAAACTTTTACACGCTTTGATTGACTTTAATAATTGACGACTCGCAATCATTTAAACCAAACAATGAAACACATAAATTTCTTATTTTGAACTTTGGAATTGTGGAAGTCGACATTAATCTGCTAGAGAAGGATATTAGACTTCTTAAACGATCGACTTTCGAGTCAAATTGCTTCGTAGCGCGCAATATAATGTAAAATATAGGCAAAGCGGAAAATGTAGAAAACTTTTTAATGCCAACTGTACAACGTAGCACAGGAACGCCAGCATGTAACAATTATTAATGAGCGAAACAGTGCCGCGTTGTTTATGACTTCTGAATAATTAAATCTGGTAAATTCCCTTGATCACATGTTACTTATTTAATTTTTTTGTCGTGTTGTGTGAATCTATTTCAAAATCAAATGGCATCTCTGCTTCCAGGTACGTAAGATTGATTGAATATGCTGTCTGTAATTGCCCAACGTCTCCATACCATTATAAAATTATATTTTTTTACTATCAATAACAAGGATATGCATATTACAGTGTATCATTTTGCCCACTTTCCCTTTTTCATTAATGATAAGGATAAGCTGCGCTCTTTTGAATTCGATAATACACAATAATAGTTTCAAAATTATAAGTTAAACTACATTAACGAGCCTGGGAAAGTAAGTAGCTTCATTGTGCTTTAGAGAAAAATATCAGGAAAAAGATAACAGCATCTAAAACAACGAAAATTTTAAATCATAAATTCTAGTCCCGTTTCATAAAATGTTCTCTCAAGTCATGAACCTATCAAATAAGAAATAATACATAAAATTAAATTAATGCATATTAATACGACCTACATTAAAAATTAGTGATTGTAAAAACGTTTAGTTTCCTTAGTTTCCTTAGTATTTGTTTGGGACGTAGCAGTCCCAGGCCACGATGGATCGCCGCCTCTGATTATCGTTCATCCGCCCTCATTTGGGCCACCTGATGCACGATGCTGTTGCTTGCTTCTCGCCGCTGGTAGTGTTGCAGGGGAGGTCGATCTGGGATTGTGCCCAGGAACACGTCCAGTTGTCTCGTGAAGGTCTCCAGGGTGAACTCCCCCTCTCTTATATCCCTTCGTAGGGCGTTGAACAGCCTTGTGGCCCTGTCACGGAAAGTGATCCTTCCCGCAGGGATTGAAATCGGACTGCGGATCTGTTACGTAGGGGGGAGGATCTTGCACAATCTCCCTCTTCTCTCGTTGTGATATGTCTTAATCCTGAAGGTCTCGCTTTCGAAGTTTGGCACCATTCCGGTTATCATTTTCCATGTGTACAGAATGACATACCTCTCCCGTCTCCTCTGCAGTGAGTACAGACCCAGTCGCTGTAACCTCTCCCAGAAGTTAAACTTCTCCATCCCTCTGATCCTGGAAGTAAAGGTTCGATGGACTCCTTCCAGTTGCCGTATTGCGCCTAGTGTGAACGGAGTCCAGAGCTGGCAGCAGTATTCAAGGATAGGTATTACAAGGGCTCTGAAGTGTGTGATCATCGGTTCCGCTTCTCTCGTTCTGAACGTCCGCCAGATCCATCCCATCTGTCGTCTACCTTTTGCGGTTATTGCCGGTATGTGATCACCAAAATTGACCTGATTGTTCATCAACACTCCTAGATCGCGAACGAGTCGCTTCTCTTCGATTTCCGAGTTGTCAGGTGCCAGGTAGCGGTGATCCATTCCAGCTTTTCCGGTTCCTCTGTACCTCAGGACCTCAAACTTGGTTCCGTTGAACTGCATGTTGTTCACTAGGGCCCAGTCAGATATTGCAGAGAGGTCTTCTTGCAACCTCTCACTGTCAGTCCTGTCAGTGTTGGTCATTAATATCCTGGTGTCGTCCGCGAATGACGATGCAGTGGCGTGGTTCACTGCCACATCTATGTCGGCGATGTGGATGAGGAAGAGGATTGGGCCGAGTACCGTTCCCTGTGGTACTCCCCTCTTCACCCTAGCCACGCTTGATCTCGAGCCTCCAACGACTACAGCTTGTAGTCTTTCTGTTAGGAAGCTATGGATCCATGCCAGCAATTCACCTCCGACTCCCAGCAGTCTTAATTTTCTGAAGAGCACTCCATGGTCAACTTTGTCAAACGCTTTCGCACTTTAATCTACCAATCTAAAAAATTATCCACATATACATATAAAAAATCAGTCTTTTATTTCTATATATATGGGGATTATTTTTGAGATTGGTAGATTAAAGTAGACATCCATGTAGGGAAGGTGAAACATAAGAATAACTGTGTAAAATAACTGTAAGCAAACTGAAACATGAAAAAAATTAACAAGTAACAACTAACATGTTGACACTATATATACACTGGGAACCTTACTTCTAACAGTTATTTCCAGGGGAACCTAGGGGAACCATATTTTACTGAGAATTAGTTGCTAGAAAAAAAGGCTCCCGGTAGAAATACGTGCAATAAAATATGGTTCCCCTAGGTTTCCCTGAAAATAAGTGTTAGAAATAAGGTTCATAGTGAAAATATTATAAGGGGAACCTTATTTCTGACAGTTATTTCCAGGGGAACCATATTTTATTGCAATAGTAACAGGCTGAGGTTGACAACATTACACCGAAATCTTTCGTACAGTTTTATTCTGCAATTTATATTATGTATGTATCATGCTGGTTTTTAAATAATATTTGATACTATTAAGTAAAATCTAAAGGACTTTGTCTATAAATGTAGCGATAGCGCTGTAGCAGCAAAAACTCGCATCGCTACTCAAATATGTAGCGGGCGCTACCGCTACCGCTACATTGCCTTATATGCAGCGCCGCTACCGCTACATGTAACGCGCTACTGCCCACCTCTGCAAGTTAGAGGTCAGTTGTATCCCAGACTCAAATATTCTCACCTCCGCCATCACAGTCCTCGTGCAGCTGAGTAGCGTTTCATGTCAATACTGACGAAATAATAGATTTATTCTTTGGTATATGACAAACAGATCATTTGCATTGTAATTAGCAATCACTCACTCTGTAGTTATTATAAGAATCTGAGCGTGTTATAAGTAATAAGCAATCTCCTACATAGCTTCGAACCCACTGTAGTCAGTGAGACTGTAGTCAGTGAGTACGGCAATTAAATGTTAAAGAATTTCGATTACTAGAATGGAAATTAATTTTTCGACGTTAATATGCATTTAAATAACCTACTTAAAAGTACTTATTATATTTACTAATTATATTTTCGCAGCTTGTAATAGCTTCTTAACATCTTGCAAACCACCAACACTTGCACGAACGCTTTGCTGCGCATTGAATCCGCTCGTGGATCATTTCTATGGATCGTGACGTCCATGACTGAATTACTTTCAAGGAGGTAATTAATTTCTACGTATCCCTCACTAGTAAACTTTTGAGATAAGAGCAGAGTGTTAGGAATATTATTGGAAGCAATCGCTTCCTGTTTCTTATTATTTCAAGAATAACGTTGACTCGCATGATAAGACAGCATGGAAAACTCAATTGCCGTGCAACGAGTTTTTCAACCGATGGCGTTGAAAGTTGACGAGATGTAAAGAAACTATTTCGACTGAAAATAGTAATTAGAGAACAGTGAATAACTCTCACAGTTATATATCATTCGAAGTTCACCACCCATTTATTTGATCTGCTTTTTTCAATTACCTGAACTCTAAATCCTTTTGAAGCCAGTGGGTTCGACGACTTCAAATTGGCGTCTCTCGTTATAGAAAACTCGGTAGTTAAAACTCGATAGTTATGCACAAGTTTTCTTGTCGTCCATGTGAGAGTTGAATACAATGGAAGTATCCCAGTAATTAGGGGTGTTCAGTAGGAATGAATGAGCTGTTTTATTTGTCGTCCTTCTATGAAGAAAGTGTAATAGTATCATCGATAAGAATGAATGGTGTTCAGTAATTATGCACGAGTGGTATTTTGTCGTAATAAAGACAAAAGACAAAAGAATTTAGAATGTAATAAAAATATTTTGATAAATTATGGCTGTTATAAGTTACGCATTTATTGTTTTCCTGCAGTTCAACCCAAAATTAGATGTAATATAATAAAACCTATTTATGAATTTAAAAAAAAGAGATCATATGGGTTATATACGAAGGGGTTACGTTAGGTTAGGGTTATATATAACCCTAACCTAACGAGGTTGGTGTTTTTTTGGCGTCCGGTAATGTAGTTCATTTATTATCGTGTCCGGTTTTCAGATACAAACTAATTGCAGAGTTAATTACCGTACTCGATTTTGTCCGGTTTTGTACCCCCTGTCCGGTAATGTTACTAATTTTGTCAGGTAATTGTTCGAAATTCTTATATATATATACAGATATAAAATAAGATCTTATAAAACATGGTTCTATAAGATTTGCACGCGTTTGTCTGTCTCGCAACGTTGCCCATCCCAGGCCGTGTTGCATGTTATTCAGTGGAAGTCCGGCAGAAACGATGCGAGACTCGCCGTGCTGTAGTACGTTGCACTTTTTAGAGGTTGGCAGCATCTACTGCTGTCAACTGTACCGTGTCAACTGTGTGCAAGAATGCCAGCTGTGCGCAGGAGTGCTAGCTATGCGCAGGAGTGCCAGCTGTGCGCAGGAGTGCCAGCTATGCGGAGGAGTGCCAGATGTGCGCCGGAGTGCCACTGCGCGCATGAATTTCAGCTGTGCGCAGGAGTGTCAGCTGTGCGCAGGAGTGTCAGCTGTGCGCAGGAGTGTCAGCTGTGCGCAGGAGTGTCAGCTGTGCGCAGGAGTGTCAGCTGTGCGCAGGAGTGCCAGCTATGCGCAGTAGTGCCAGCTGTGCACAGGGGTGCCAGCTGTACGCAGGAGTGCCAACTATGCGCAGGAGTGCCAGCTGTGCACAGGGGTGCCAGCTGTGCGCAGGAGTGCCAGTAGTGCGCAGGAGTGCCAGCTGTGCGCAGCGCAGAAGTGTCAGCTGTGCGCAGGAGTGCCAGCTATGCGCAGGAGTGTCAGCTGTGCGCTGGAGTGCTAGTTGTGCGCAGGGGTGCCAGCTGTGCGCAGGGGTCTGATTGTCAGCTGTGCGAAGGAATGTCAACTGTGCGCAAGAGTGCCAGCTGTGCGCAGGAGTGCCAGCTGTGAGCAGGAGTACCAGGTGTGCGCAGGAACTTCCCTACGCACACCTGGATTCCGCAGCGAGCTTCACTTGTTTGGCTTCTTGACTTCTGTCGCGGTCACCAACCTCCACGTCGCCCAGACTTATCCATCGGATCCGTAAGAGATTGAAGTCTCCCCCCATTATCAGGCTGGAGGATGGTTCACCCAGTTCAGCCACCCTGGTTTCTATTTCCTCCAGAGTTTTGCTAAAATTTTCCGATGAACAAGCAGGCGGCCTATATAGACTATGGCTACGCAGAGGTCAAGTTTTTTATGTTTAGTACGTGTTCAACAAATCCATCAGAGTTTCCAGATTCCCATCTCAATTCCACCGTGCTTCTTGCGAGGGAGTTCCTAAGGTAAACAATTACTCCTCCCTTCTTCATCCCTCCAATTCGGAGCGCACGATAATG